TCTGTTTAGGTCAAATTGTCTATCTATCTATCCATAATTGTCTGTATCTATCTATATCTAAATGTCTATCTATCTATGTCTAGTTCTCTGTCTATATCTGTTTGTTGACGTAATTTTCCCCATCTACTGTGTGTGTGTGTGTGATGGGTCAAGGAATATAAAGGAAGAGAGAGACACTAACAAGGAATATAAAGGAAGAGAGAGACACTAACAAGGAATATAAAGGAAGAGAGAGACGTAAGTAGAAGAGAATGAGTGTAGAGAGAGACACTAACAAGGAATATAAAGGAAGAGAGAGACGTAAGTAGAAAAGAATGAGTGTAGAGAGAGACACTAACAAGGAACATAAAGGAAGAGAGAGACGTAAGTAGAAGAGAATGAGTGTAGAGAGAGACACTAACAAGGAATATAAAGGAAGAGAGAGACGTAAGTAGAAGAGAATGAGTGTAGAGAGAGACACTAACAAGGAACATAAAGGAAGAGAGAGACGTAAGTAGTAGAGAATGAGTGTAGAGAGAGACACTAACAAGGAACATAAAGGAAGAGAGAGACGTAAGTAGAAGAGAATGAGTGTAGAGAGAGACACTAACAAGGAACATAAAGGAAGAGAGAGACGTAAGTAGAAGAGAATGAGTGTAGAGAGAGACACTAACAAGGAACATAAAGGAAGAGAGAGACGTAAGTAGAAGAGAATGAGTGTAGAGAGAGACACTAACAAGGAACATAAAGGAAGAGAGAGACGTAAGTAGAAGAGAATGAGTGTAGAGAGAGACACTAACAAGGAGACGTAGCCACACTTGTTTGTTTATGTCCTCATAGTAAACAAAGTAAATGTTTAGCCTCCACAGTAATCCACAATATCTCATTTTTAACTCAACGTGATATTTTGATAAGCTATGTTAGTATAATCACGGAGGAAATATTTCTCCCGTATGCAGTCCAAAATTTGCCCTTCAGAATTCATTTTACAAATCTTGACGCGTATGTGGCATTTGAGGAGAGGGGAGGGTGGGGGGGGTAGAGTGACACCCATCAGGGTGTGTGTGGCACAGTGGGGGGAGGTGACACTTACATCAGGGTGTGTGGCACTGTGGTAGTGGGCCTGGGTGACACTTGCATTAGGGTGGGTGGCACTGTGGGGGGGGGAGGTGACACTTGCATAAAGGTGTGTGGCACTGTGGTGGCGGGTCAGAATGACACTTGCATTAGAGTACACACCGGGCACAACAACACCCTGGCTCTTGGTGGCACTGTTGCCTCAGAGTGCCAGACGTTATCTAGGCTCCAAACTCCTCATTCACTGCAGCTGTTCAGCTAGCAATAAGCGAGAGGAATGGTGCATGTGTGTGTGTCGTGAGGGCGGGGATTAAACTGCCCCATCTGCACACTCGCTCCTCACAGAAAGTTGAACTCTGCATTAGAACAATAGTGAAAGTTCAGGATATCTTTAGCCTTTAGGTACAGTTGCATGGTGAACCTCCTCAAGATAATGTCAACGATACAGTAAATCAGCAACAAATATTTATTAACTACAATATTTCCCTCTCATACAATACCTTTTTCTTTTCCTATACAATTTTAATTTCACTTACGAATTTATATTTTCTCTTATGTAGTTCCAACTTTATTTTATTCTTTACCATTACAGAGAAATATATCCAAATCTATTTAATTATTATATACCAAAACACTCTTCGTTCACCTTCAAAAACTTTAAATATCTCCTATTTTATTTTTTGTTAGAACTAATTCTCAATCTAATTTAGTCTCCCCATTTCCAAATCCTCCCCTTTCTTACACTACTTCCCCCCTCCCCATTAAATACCCCTCCTATTCTGTTTTTAACCCTCACGCCGTCATTAAGAAAAGGTTTTGGGCTCAATTTTCAGGCCCACGTAACCTTTAAGAGCCGAGGTTGAAGAGGGTGAAGTAGGTGATAGGAACGTAAGGAGAAGGAGAGAACAGCGGCCGTAAAGTGCTTGACAATGATGGTAAGTATGATGGAAGTAAAGCAGAAGATTCTATTGGATTAAAAACACACACACACACACACACACACACACACACACACACACACACACACACACACACACACACACACTAGAAAAACAAAACACCAAGTTGATGATAGTCGCCAGTTTGGGATATTTTGTTGTAAGAATAATTAAGAATCAATTGGGAGAAAAATGAACTTAAGTTTTTTTTATAAGGCTGTCGAAGATAAGTGTTGCAATGTGATTAGATTAAGTCAGAGTTTTTATCGGTTACAGAAGTGGTATCGGTTACAGAAGTGGTATCGGTTATAGAAGTGGTATCGGTTACAGAAGTGGTATCGGTTACAGAAGTGGTATCGGTTACAGAAGTGGTATCGGTTACAGAAGTGGTATCGGTTATATAGGTCAAGGCGTTTACTTTATAGGAATATTTACACGTCATGTTATAAATAAAATGAAATATAACCTAACCTAACCTAACCACACAGAGATACTGAACACAGAGATACTGAACACAGAGATACTAAACACAGAGATACTGAACACAGAGATACTGAACACAGAGATACTGAACACAGAGATACTGAACACAGAGATAATGAACACAGAGATACTGAACACAGAGATACTGAACACAGAGATACTGAACACAGAGATACTGAACACAGAGATAATGAACACAGAGATACTGAACACAGAGATACTGAACACAGAGATACTGAACACAGAGATACTGAACACAGAGATACTGAACACAGAGATACTGAACACAGAGATACTGAACACAGAGATACTGAACACAGAGATAATGAACACAGAGATACTGAACACAGAGATACTGAACATCGCCACACAACAGTTTGTTCACCAAAACAAAACTGTTGTTCTTGTGTTGATAAATCACCTCGACGCTTTACTAACAAGTAGTTAAAACAATAAAAAAAACCACGTCATATAAATTATAGATTTGGAAATTGATTTCATGAGACTACCTGACTCCCGGAGAGGGAGAGAGAGAGAGAGAGAGAGAGAGACAATAGGCAGAAAGACAGTCAGTGTTATATGTATCAACAACGCACACACACACGCACGAACGTACACACACACACACACATACGCACTCACACGCACACACACACACACTCACGCACGCAAACACATTAACACCTAATCATCTACCACTATTAGAGGCAGACATTCATCCTCGGCGCCTCACAAGGGGCTATTATGGGGGAGGGGAGCTGTATCTCTCCTTCCTACCTTGTACAGCTGTATAAGGACTGTCAATCAACTCACCACTATTTATACACAGTAACGATTTCAATCTAAAAAAGAAAAAAAAAACGAAAAAAAAATCAAAACAAAACAACGAACAGGACCAAACAAAAGCAAACAATGAAACAGGACCAAACAACAAAAGAAAACACTGAAACAAGTATTGACAATAGAAACATCAGGGGAGTGGCAGAAGTTACAAGGGGTGGAAGGTGTTGGTATTAGCCCCACTATATTAACACCACAGTGGCCCCTTGTGTAACGAACCTGCCATGCCATGTTGAGACGACTATACCAAGAGGGGGAGGGAAGCACTACAACTACCTGTTATCCTCTACAACACCACCAGAGAGGGAAGCACTACAACTACCTGTTATCCTCTACAACACCACCAGAGAGGGAAGCACTACAACTACCTGTTATCCTCTACAACACCACCAGAGAGGGAAGCACTACAACTACCTGTTATCCTCTACAACACCACCAGAGAGGGAAGCACTACAACTACCTGTTATCCTCTACAACACCACCAGAGAGGGAAGCACTACAACTACCTGTTATCCTCTACAACACCACCAGAGAGGGAAGCACTACAACTCCCTGTTATCCTCTACAACACCACCAGAGAGGGAAGCACTACAACGCCCTGTTATCCTCTACAACACCGTATTATCAGTGACTCATAGATAACGTATATTTTCACTCCATATGTACTATTTGCATTGAAAGCTTTTGTTAAATAATCCACTCTCCAATGTAACGTAACCTAACCTAAACTAACCTAACCAAAATTAACCTAACCCAACAATGTTCAGTATTATCACCAGTCATCAGCAAGGATAGATGTGCGTATGTGTGTGTGTGCGTGTGTGTGTGTGTACTGTATATACACTAATCATGTACAATACACGTTTCCATATGTAAACCTCAAAATCCACATTCAAAATAGGGAGGACATGGAAAGGGAGACCCAAAACAATATTTCATTCGTTGTCATTAACCACATTAATGACAAATGAATGCTCGAAATTGATGCAAATATAAATATATGTAAAATTTTTCACGGAATAATATAAAGGGATTAATTTTGTTGGATGGGGACTAGCGCTCAGCCAGGAGGGGGGGTGATGGGGAGGAGGGGTTGGGGGAGGTGACGGGGAGGGGTGGGGGAGGAGACGGGGAGGTGGGGGAGGTGACGGGGAGGGGTGGGGGAGGTGACGGGGGAGGGGTGGGGAGGTGACGGGGGAGGGTGATGGGGAGGGAGGGTTGGGGGAGGTGACGGGGGAGGGGTGGGGGAGGTGATGGGGGAGGGGGGGAGGTGACGGGGGGGAGGGGTGATGGGGAGGAGGGGTGGGGGAGGAGGGGTGATGGGGAGGAGGGTTGGAGGAGGAGGGGTGGGGGAGGAGGGGTGGGGGAGCAGGTGGCTTCGTGCATGTGAGAGTCAGTGAGACTAACCTCAGAAAGAATACATAGTTGTTTTGGCATCACATTAATTGTTTCAAAAATAAGTTCTGGAACACTAAATGGCAGGGCTTGATGTAAACACTTCTGGTTGGCATTTCTTTTATTGTCGAAGCATATATATAGCGTGTGTATATATGAGAATAAATTATGGAGGGAGTCTACATGTGGTGGTGGTGGTGGGAGGCGGATTAACCACTCACGGGAAGTACTTCCTTTGGGTTCGTACAAGATAAGACAAACACCGAATCTGTGGCAGTGTAGCGAAAGGCTTGCTAAGTGGATGTCGGGATAGTAAAGTAGGCGACTGTATAGTGAATTAGTCGTCTGGATAGTGGATTACTCGTCTGGATAGTGGATTAGTCGTCTGGAAAGTGAAGTAGGCGACTGGATAGTGAATTAGTCATCTGGATAGTGAATTAGTCGTCTCTATAGTAAAGTGGACGTCGGGATAGTGAAGAAAAGATCTAAAAAATGTTTGTTTTCCTGCTGATGGTGATGTCACGCTCCCTGCTGGCGTCTACGATGGACAGTGAAGGTGAGAGAGAGAGAGAGAGAGAGAGAGAGAGAGAGAGAGAGAGAGAGAGAGAGAGAGAGAGAGAGAGAGAGAGAGAGAGGTTTTTGTTTACTTTCCTTTAAACTCAGTGGAAATTAATTTGTTTGTGATAAAATTTCTTGTTTCATTTAAGAAGTCGTTTACTTTTGTATTATAGCTTAAGTGGATTTGGTTAGGTTAGGTGGTGGGAGGTAAGTCCTGGTTTTCAGCGTTACTTTAAGAGTTTTGTGCACACAGTGGCTGAGGTAGAGAGGTATAAGGACTCCTGGACTGGTTGGAAGTTGGTGGACTAGTGTGAGGTTTTGGACTCGGCCGTATTTAGCAGATAAATATCGCTGGCGCGAGACCCACCACTGCTGGCCGGGGGTGAAGCATGACGCGGGCTAACTAGGGAAAATTCCTCTATATGGATCTCATCTTATATTGGCCTCCACAAACACCACAATGTATACAACCTCGCTAAATCCGCCTACACACTCCTTATCCCTGATGACGCTTCAACCATAACTACTGGTCGAGTCAAGACGCTCCTCAAGAAAGCCGTTCTTCAAATCATAAACGAAGAACGAAGTGAACAGCAAGGTACCAGTGCTAGTGTTCATCACTATGATAAACATTGTAGCACAAAATATCAATACGGCTGGAATAAATGTCTGA